CAGCCCGGCACACATCTGAGTCTTCATGCAGACATATCTGGAGGATTGATAAGGGATGTATGGGGTTCTGAGCTCTCAGTCACTGATTATCAATCTTTGTGGGTGCTTTGAGAGCAAAATCAAGATAGATAAAACTTCTAGCATATGGGGTAAAGTACAAAAATTAAAACACACTGAAAGAGTCAATGTCCTTGCTCTGAAGGATTTTTCTGCAAAATACACTGGTGAAGAGGTGTCATTTTCAGGTTAGCTGACATTTTAGCCCATCAGTGCTGACAGCCTGCTCAAAACAGGCCTTGTTACAGACTTTTACTACAGGCAAGGCAATGAACATGCAGTCCTAGGTAGTGTTAAGAAACCGCAATTACAAGCATAGACAGACTGCCACAAACTTGGGAAAACAGAAATTGTTTTGACCTGAGTGAATTAGTCTCTCAAATAGGTCTAGTGCCTACACTCTAGAGAAAACTCCTTACTTGGTCCAACCAATCCTATGGCTAAATAATGTACAACAGAAAAATACTGTCCAGCTAGGAAAGTCTATCTGCAGCTCACCTTTGCCCTTGTTAAATGTCCATCCTGAAATAGTTCCCTGCCTTTATCCAGATCATCTTCATTTATCAAGAACTAAATGAAATGCCCCCTGCTCTTTAATTAGTTCTGTTTATAGTAATTTCCCTCTTCTCCAAATTCACTCATTCTCTCAACAAATATTTACTGAACACCTACTATGTGCCAGGAATTGTAGTTGCTGTGAATACAATGGTCATCAAGACACACAAATTCCTTGCCATTACTAAACTTAAAATTCTAGTGAGGAAGACTAGGGCAACAACAAAAATTATATACGGATACAGATAAATGTAGATACAGAGATAGAGATCAATAGATAGATAGAGATAGGTAGGTAGGTAGGTAAGTAGATAGATACATAGATAGACAGACAGACAGACAGATATACAGTTATGCGACACATAGCAACATTTTGGTCAATGAAGGACCACATATATGTGACCACTACAGTGGTCACATCCCATTATAATAGCGTATTTTTATTTTCCTATGTTTAGATATGTTTAGGTACATAAATACTTACCATTGTGTTACAGTTGCCTATGGTGTTAAGCTCAGTAACATTCTGTACAGGTTTGTACCCTAGGAACAGAGCAATAGGCTATATCATATAGCCTAGGTGTGTAGCCTAGGTGCCATCTAGATTTGTGTGAGTCTGCTGTATGATGTTTCCACAATGACAACATTGGTAATGATGCATTTCTCAGAATGTATCCCCATCATTAAGTAACAGATAATGTATGTACACACACATCTACATATATATTTATATATTACAACTTCAGGAAATAGTGCTATGAGGACATATCAACCAAGGTAAGGGGAGCTGGTAATAGCCACTGTCTGTGTGACCCATTTTCAATATAACACCTTATATTCTGATTTAACTTTTAATCTGTGACTGTTCTGTAAGAGTCTTAAGGGAGAGATGTGCTATCTTCATATCCTCCACAAAGCCTAGCTCAGGTCTTACAACAGGTTTTCAATAAATATTTGTCGCATTTCTATTAGATGAGATCCATTTACCAGCATCATGGAGAGGGATTTTGATCTAATGTTGACTAATGGTCTGGCTTGAACCCCACACAAAGATGAGACTCTTTGGGGATGGTTTGCAGCTGCCATAATGACAGATGCTAATCTAAGTCACAGAAATTTTGTTTTGAAATATGCATAGCTTTCATCTATGCAATACGTATTGTAACTACACTGTGGTGGTTCTTAAGATATAACACCTATATTTTATTATTTTCTGGAATATCTCTGACTCCACATACTTATATTATCTTCAAAATAAAGTTTGTAGCTATGCTAAACTTGTTAATTACGTTGATAACTTTAATTTTATATTTAAGAATTCTGCATATAAGTAAATCCATGAATCATGGGGATAAAACACTCTAAGTAAAACAGTGTCTATGGGTCCTCCTTTTCTGTAATGTCTTCAATTTACTTATGTAACCAAAATCTGAATGGCATGTTCTTTATGCCATTCTTTGCTCCATGAGTCAGTTACATTTTCCGGTAAGTCTATCTATTAAATATCTTTGAATGTCACGACCACAGGACTGTCATGGGTGAAGGATGTAGAAATGCAGGCAATGATGAAATGCTGTGCTTGCCCTGGAGTGTGGTGACCAGCTAGACACTTAAAGTGCTAACTTTATCAGCAGCTCTCATTCCCCTCCAACTCATTATGATTCAGAAAGCAGAGCATCCTTTCAGGATGACCTTCACATGTTGTGAAGGTTGTGGTAAACAGAATGTGTGATCTGAAGTCAAATAAATGGGATTCAAATCCTAATTCTGCCGTTCCCTGGACAGGTGACCTTGGACAAGGTGTTCCATCTCTCTGAATCTGAGTTACCTTGATATAAATGGGCATAACAGTAAACAGCTTTTAGAGCTGTGGTGAGGATTAAATGATACATGATATGTGAATGTCTATTAAATGCCTTGTGCATAAGGGGCTCTCATTATTTTGTCTCTGTTTTTATCATTATTTTCACTTATAACCACTTTGTGCCAAGTATCGAAATAGGAATTTGAATAAGATGCCTTCTAAGACTCCAAGGAACTTATAGTTTAAGTCTAGATAAGGAAAGATAAACATAAGTAGACAATTCCAATGAATAAGTGGTAGAAAGTAATGAGTACACTGCTGGAAAGGTGCCCAGATTAGTTTGGGAGTTTGAAGGAAGATTACTGAACTCATGGGATGTGAGAAGCCTTCCCACTGAGTATCACACAGTAGATCCTAAGGAGTACATTAAGGTAGAATGGGGAGAATGGAAGGGCAGTCCAGGCACAGGGAAGAGTGTGAGTAAAACCATGGAAGCAAGGCATAGAATGGTATGTACAACGAGCTACAAGCCATTCAATCTTGCTGTCCACAAAGTCTAAGGCAGAGAGTGGTGAGCATGGAAAGATGAACTAGAAAGATAAGTGGGAAGCAACTGATGGGGTTAACTCATGGAGCTATGTCATGGTAAGGATCCTGAATACCAGCTGGTAGAAAATTGATAGAAAACGCAAGTAAAGTATTTAAATAAAGATTTGACCTGGCTATATATTTATTCAGGCTGGAGTGTAGAGGCACAATCACAGCTCACTGCAGCCTCTGCCTCCTGGGTTTAAACAATTCTCCTCCCTCAGCCTCAGTCCTGAGTATCTAGGACTACAGGCGTGCACAACCAAGCCCAGCTAATTTTTGTATTTTTTAAGTAGAGACGGGGTTTCACCATGTTGACCAGGCTGGTCCCGAACTTCTGACCTTAAGTGATCCACTCACCTTGGCTTCCCAAAGTCCTGGGATTACGGGTGTGAGCCACCATGCCCAGCTGACACGGCTATATTTAAATAAACTATATCATATTGGTGGTTACGCAGAAAAGAGATTGGATGAAGATATCAGGAAATGGAGAGACACAATATTCTGAACTAGGGCATGGTGGTAGGGATGGATTCAAGAATCAAGAATTAGGTAGGGCTTAATATAGAGAGGAAGAGGTAAAGGAGAACCCATAGGTCTCATCCTAGGTGATAGAAATGCAATGAATTTAGAAAGTCCAGGGAAATTGTGAGGTTTGTAAGCTCACTCTATCCTCCAGGATCCTGAAATATCCTACAATTATGGCAGTAGTTGGAACGGAGAGTGATAGTGAAAGCTAGAGACTTCCATGAAATAAAATGACATTAGGGCTCCATAAGCAACAGTGTACCAAATATACTGTGGTATAGCTTAGTGGGATCAACCTCCCAAAAGTATGAATTTTACACAGGGTAAATGCAGGCCTGTGTGAAGTGACAGTGGGTACCTGAGAACACTAGTAAACACACACCCCAACTTTCCACCTGTAGTGTGCACATTATGCAAGAATAATAGCTCCACTCAACAGGTCTGGAGGGATGGACTTATACTGGGGGTTTGGCCAGGGTTCAGGCAAGACCTAAGAGGAAAGCAACATTCTCTGAAGGGAGCTTAAGGGTTTAGGAGGTTTGTTAGCAGTGGCACAAGATTTCCCTCACTCAGACCTATCAATTCCCATACTGCCTTCAGTGGTGCCAATGTTAAGTGCTCTCTAATCTATTATCCCTTCCCCTCTTAACAGAGCAGACTATTAACTGTTCTGGCCTCTGCAGCCACGTGCTCCTCTTTACTGATGCAACGATTAATGCCCGTAATGTATCTCTTTTCTGAGAAGTTCCAAGCACCTCAAAACTCATCATGGTGGATGAGCAGCTTTTAAACTGTTTGCTCCTGGAGCCTCAATGTAGCCAAGATAGTGAGTATCAAGGGGCTGTGGTCATGATTGAGTCTCCTGATGGGGCAGGGTGCAAGTGCGACGGGGACCCTCAGGGATACATCTTACTGTTATTTTACAGGTACCTGAAGATGGGGTTACTCAGTGCATCCCCTCACTAAACAAGACCAAACTGGCTGAGTCTGTCTAAGAATTTCCATTACTTTGCAGCATTGCAGGAAGACTTGCTAATGGTTCTGAACTTCTGACTTTAAAATCGCTTCTTACTGAGAATGTATGTGAACGCTCTGTCTCGGCTGATAAAATATTTATAGGGAGGGATACCTGTAGAAACCATCAAGAGTTTATATAAATTGAAGGAGGAGTTGCATCCTTGACTATATATAAATTCAAAATGATAAATATATGTTTGTAAAACACATAGAGTTCTCTTTATCCTCTCAGGGTTGGTAGTACTACCCTTTCTTCATTAACTTACAAGGTCAACACTAACAAACGTATCTACTGAAATGTGTTATTCAAATATAGAGGTTATTGAAAGTACAAGCAGTACAGGAACTAAGACTAGATTCATTCTATTTATTAAACCCTGCATTCAACTATACTGGGGAAATGGATGTGTTCACAACAATACTTTTAAGAAAACTCTTTCCAGATAGCATGTTCAAGGACATAGGCAAATCCAAGATTTTTACTTTAGGCTTATCCTTCTCACAAAATAACTCAGCCATGATGTTTACGGTGTTGATGCCTCCTCTTCTATTTTCAAAATCCCTTCTTGGCTGTTTTAAGAAAATAAAGAATTAACTTTAGGTACACAACTCAGAGACACCTTGACATGTCACCTGATTGGTGAAATTATTTTGAGAGTGGCCTTGCCAACCTTGTAAAATGTAAATGAAAAGCGTACTAGTATCGACCACAGACTATTTATGGTATGATCATGTGCAATTGCAGAAGCAAAGAGACTGCTTGCTCTTCAGGAAGGTTGGATTGGCACAGAACACCCTTTCCATGGGTATGTGTCCTGGCTGCTTTTTGGAATCAATTTTAGGGCAAAAGCTTGCGAGGCTGGAGGCGGGAAATGGAGAAAATCTTGCATAAGAGCAGTTTCAGTGATATAGTCACTTTTTCGCAGAAAGTAAGAGAGAGGACACTAACAGCTTATTTAAATAGAATGACTCAGTTTGGGTTCTGTGAACAAGGATTTGACAGAGCCCATGCTAAGCACATTTGCAAACAGAGAACATGAGGAAACTGCTTGCATCTTTGCTTTTGTCTTTCAGAGTTGAGATTTTCCTTTTCAAGTGCTCTGAGCACCCCTGGTGCCTGAAGACAAGTTTGTGAATGCTCATACCCAATTGAGAATATGTTGACATTTACATTTCAATAACATTTGCAAGATTAATTTTGTTTTTTCCACTGCTGCTGTGTGCAATGCAAAGAGCTTTATATCTGCCCAGAATAATCATGGTTTTTACAATCTGTAGTTATGTCTACAGGCAACAGATTCAGGCAGGAACCTACAGAGTCAGGAGTTTGAAAGTTGTAGAGTTCGGCAACTAATAACCTCTGCAGACTTGAAAAGTCCTATTCAAAAATAAGTGTCTGTGAACTTTCAGTCCTAGCATACAATTAAAAGTGACAGGTAACCAGTGTTTCCCCATTGGCTAGTGAAACATGGCTGGGTTGGAGATGTTATCTAAGCTGTGGTAGTTACGGAATGAAGCACCAGTTCTCTCTACTTATCTAGAGTTAAATTGGTTTATTGAAGTTGAAGCCCTACTTTTTTTAAAACATAAAGGTCTAAGCTGGACATGGCGACTCACACCTGAAATCCCAGCACTTTGGGAGGCCAAAGTGGGAGGATCATTTGAGTATGGGAGGTGGAGGCTGCAGTGAGCCATGATTGTACCACTGCACTTCAGTCTCGGTATTAGAGCAAGATCCTGTGGCCACCCAAAGTGCTAGGATTATAGACATAAACCACTGTGCCCAGCTGCTGAATGCAGTTTTATAATTGTTGTTATTATTATGCAGTGATCAGCCTTTGAGAAATGGTGTCCTGTGTCCAAGAACACCAGGGAATCCTGTAAAATATCCTCTGTTGATGAATGCGGAATCTCTTCACTGATGCAGAGATAGCATCCATCACTAAGAAACCCTGAATTATGTATTCTAAACTGGCTAATTGCTGGTCTCTGTATGCTAGAGGTCTTCAAATTTTCTTACTTCTGTCCCCTAAAATAAGTAAGAAAGACTAGATACTCCTGTACATATCCTTAGGCTGTTACCTAAAAGACTTCACTATTAGTTTAAGTAGGTGCAAAGACATAATTTCAGCATATTATAAATACTTATAAATATCAAGTCTTCCCTCCTTCCTTCCTTCCTTCCTTCCTTCCTTCCTTCCTTCCTTCCTTCCTTCCTTCTTTCCTTCCTTTCTTTCTTCTTTCTT